GATGCACAACTCATCATGCAAGATAGGACAGAGATATATAATTACAAACTGTTCTATTTGACAAATATAGTGTCCCCACTGTGCTACCTTTAAATACTCCTCTTTATTGGGACATAAGACAAGATCAGACACAGATCCAACAAGTTAATTAGTGTTACTCCAATTGCCACAGACTCCACAGTATTGTAAGAGGAATTTATTTAAACAAATGTTTACTCTAACAAAAGACCCAGGGGACACAAACCTATGCTTTCTTGGAGGTCTCTCTGTGGAATTAGTGAACCTATAGAGTGTCCAGGAAAGGAAAATATATTCAGAAATAAACTGGGATTCTTTTAAGAGCAATTCACTTAATGAAAACAAGAAGGTTCCTGGGCCATTTAATTTCCATTAACTCTAATTAATCAGAATGGATTTTTCATCATTCCCTAACATATTTCAAAGTTAGGTTTTCCTTTTAAATGTATTTTAAAATCCAATCTATTTATCTCAGATGCCCAGATCCTGCCAGCTCTCTGTATTCACTCCAGATCTACCGTGGCTCTATCTATTGACAAATGCCATACATTGGGTTTAGATTGTAACATCCTCCACTAAATTTCACAAAGACAATTTGTACAGACTTGCATGGCCCAGGGCCCTTATCATCTATGCATGACCATCTAAGCTAATTTTAACTTGCACAGTTTCTGCAAACCCTTAGTTGCCATGGAAACCCCTGCACCTCCATGTGCACATATGAAACTTCCACAAAGAAATCCACATGGGGAAATAGTGCCTGTTTTTGGGTTAAATGCTAGTTAGACGTTGAGAATGTTACAGATCTCTAAATCACCAGTATCTATGCATTTCAGAAAATGATGAGGTTTCACCCATCACATATTGGGTGAAATGGTGCTGTGTGAATGTCCTGCAAATTAAAAAGAAAACCATTTTCTGCTATTGTCAGCCTGGATAACAGAATAAAAGATTTGTAAAATTTCTCTTAAAAAATGGCCACTTGTAAAAGTCGTCTTGTCCACCATTATCATGCTAAGGATAAGCATTAAACAGAATAATGTTGCTGTCACTTGGCTGTGTAAGAAGTGACTTTTCCGAGGCAAACAGGCAGCTGGAATTTTGAAATTATGTCTTAATAATAAACGCTTCAATAAACATTTTCATACTGATCAAAAATCATCTGCTGAAATAAAAATGCAAATAGAACCACAAAAAAGCATTACTCAGTGGCCATAAATATGTGTTGTTTCGGGTGGCTTTTTTAGCACTAGATAAGCAGCAGAGACATACCCGTGAAAAAGGGGAGAGAGGAGGAAAGTGAGCCAACAAATGTAGGTAGCACTCTTCCAGATGTAGATTATCATGTGGGACCATTTTAATGTGTGTTTATTCTTTCTGTATTGATCGTATCAAATAGTTAGGTCTGTGTTTTTCCTGCCTTCACTTTATATTGGAATATATTAAAACATATATTCTGGAATATTATAAGCAGGAAAAAATTACTTAACCAATGTAAAGGTCACAAAGACTGTCCCTTATGTTCCCACTGCACTGGTTATAGATAATGTTGCTTAAACTGTTTTACCTTTTACCACCCCTCTGGACTTGGCCAATGTTGCAGTGCATTAAATCTAGATTAAAATTGATGCATGTCTGACTTCTGTCCCTGGTATTTTCTGGCTGTTTCAGAGAATTCATTTATCCCTTCTCTCTTTTATTTCTACATTTATGCATGGGAGACCACATAACCTATTTCCAATGGCTACTTTTGGTATAAAGTAATTGTAAAGCATTGCAAACAGATAAAACAATGTCTACTAAGCATTATTGCAATGAATGGTTATGAATATTATGGCTAAATCAAAAAATGAATGTGTTTTTCTCTGTTTTTTATGGTTTTGATCCCAGCTTACATTACTTTGTAATTACTTTGCATAGTATGAATCAGAATGGTTGTAAATATTTTTTATGTAAAATAAATAAATATCTGTGGTGCAGAACTCACTGGAGTCCATTAAGAAATAACACAAGAGATAATCCTCTATCAATTTCAGAAGATTATCTCTTCCTGATAAGATACTTCTTTATTGATTTCCTGTTTACTGAACTCCCCAGGGTCTTTGCATAAGAGATGCTTACCAGCTTTTAACTAATGGCATTACAACATCACTTCCTCCTTCTCTTTCAACAATAAAATGTAACAAAACAAATCATCTGCGAGGGAACATCTGCTGCAGAATATGGGACTGCTCCGTTCACCTTTGTGTTAATGGACAGAGGTCATTAAAAATGGATAACTAAAGCCTTTAGCACTTTTAATATATATCCAACCTGATTTGAAAATGAGCTCACTGTTCTGAAAGCATTTGGTAACCTGCATATAAGGATGGATTTATACAGCTATTTTTCAGTCCATAGGCTGACGATGACATCAAATGCAGTAAAAAACACCTCAATATCATCATCTCTTTCTTATAATTAAAACCTTAATTCCATTCTCAACCCCAAACAGAGATGTAAGAAGAGCATTATGAGATGCTAAACATATCATGTGTCCTTTTAGAAGTAAGGCTTGATTAAAAGTCCCTATTCAGGTCAGTTGCTCTCTTAGCCGTAATGCTACAAATTCAATCGTCTAGCTGAAAATGCACTATGCATAATAAACTTATAAGCTTTATGAAGTCCTTTTTAGAAAAGAAATGTGACTAACAAGCAGAGGCCTGAATCCTGACTTGACAAAGGTCACACTTGATTTCTTTGCTATTAACTTTCCAGTGAAGGAGCGTGACTCATTAATTGACAAAAGCAGCAATGTATAGCACAGTCCCAAAAACTCCATCCAAAACCATGAAGAGATGTTCCAAGTAATAACAAACCATAACAGTATAATTATATGACATGGAGATGTATTTCATTTTGGTTTTACAGGTGAAAAAACTTAGGGAAACTAGTGTGTCAAAGATCAGGCAGTGCAACAGCAGCAACAAAGCCAATACAGGAGCCCACAGTCTTGAAGACTGCGGTTCAGAGACATGAAATTTTGTATTTGCATCATGCCCATGTAGGACGTGAAGCTGACTTGTTGAACAATGCTAAGAAGGTGCAATGTACTATATTTTTGAAACAAAGTGTTAGGGCATTTGGCCTTTGTGCTGAAGACACTGACTTCCTGAATAGTTTGAAAGATTTTTTTAAGTGAAAAAACACCAAAGGATTTGTCAGATGATATCCTAGTAGTTCATAGACATAAAACTCTTTTTAAGGGGTGTGAACATCAGTTTTGTCTTTTCTCATGTGTCTGTGCCTCAACCTGCATCTGGATTCATGATGCAAAAGAAAAATAACAGATGAGGAAAAGTTCTTCTCCCATAAATTCTTGTTTGATACAAAGAGATTAAGTGTCAAAAGAAAGCACATGCAGTATTTCCTTTATGAGAGCTATTTTATTAACTTCCCTAGTCTTTTTCTCAATGGTTTCATCATTTTTTCTCTGTGGGTCTTGGAATTTGGGGGGGGGGGATTTGGGGACTTTGTTTGTTTGTTTGTTGGTGTGGTGTGCTGTTTTGTTTTTTGTTAGAATCACTTTGCAGAGGAGGGAATGGAAGGAAGGAAGATGTCAATGGAAATCATGTTATCATGCTGCATTAACTGTAGCTGCTGTTTTTGCTGAACTGGGACCAAAGTTAATCCATTTGCAGGACTTAATCTTTATTTCCTTATCTTCTGACAAACAATTATACTGCTGCCAATGTCAATTTGAATGTTAGCCTATGTTTTTGCTCTCAATGTCTTTAGCTATAAGCTCAGCCACTTAGATTCAGGTATTTTTTCACTGTCTGGGGAGACAATATGGAGCCCTCAAACACCTGAGTGATTCTCTGACCCAGAAACAGTTATGTGCCAAATAGTATTTAATAACTGCTACCACAGAATCACAGGGCATCACAGAGCATCTAAACCTCAGCATTTCAGCCTGCAGCTCTTGTGATGCTCATTCCAAGCAAAGGGGGGAAAGTTGGGCTGGTGGCTCCAGGGCAGGCAGGGTGTGAAGGAGGGTAAGGCTGCACGATCAGAGCATGCCAGAGGACAAGCAGCTTCTCACACGACCCAAATGCAGCAACTTCCACACAACCCTTCACTCTACACCAGTAAACTTCCTCTTGTCACTTTAGCCCCAAGAGCTCCTGCATGTGCTTTGCACACCAGTAATTACAAGGTGTTTTGAGACTCTGCACCCAGTCTAGATTGTAGATGTTTTTCTCCACAGCCCTCTCTGTTAAGCTGTTAGTCACTACGACATTCTCACCCTCTCTCATTCCTCCATTGTCCTTTCCTTTTATCCTTCTTCATGCAAAAATAAAACTGTTTCTTATTTTCACATTAAATCTTCTTTAGTTTGGATGTGTCCAGACACCTCCATTCATACGTTGCAAATGGTTTTCTCATCTTCTCTCCATCATGCCTAATTAAGACTTCAGGTCCCAGAAGCAGAAATTGCTCATGGGTGTCCAAAATGTAACTGGGGGGAATCAGCACTACTCTAAAACTGCTGCTAAAAGGATATTTGTAACAGTGATACTCAGAGATTGTAATTGAGTAAATTTGTTGGGGATTTGCAAACATAGTACTGAAAAAAACCCCAAGGCAAGAGTGGCAAAACTTAAGACTTATAACAAGTTGCTGAATGGTACACTGACACATTACAACATGCAAAGAAAGAAAAATTTGAAATATTGAACAAACAAGTAAAAAAATATGACAGATTTCAGTGCTGAGGTGTTCAGTTAAAACACATACTGATCTTTCTCCTTAAAAATTTTGGTAATCTTGTAATAAAACCTACCTCAAGCAAAACTCAGCCTACAAAATATTTGTCTCTGAGAAGCAAAAACCACTCCTGTCAAGTAGAGTAAGGCTGATAATGTTCAGCTGTGGCTTCTCACAGTGAATAGATGCTGTGGACTGAGACATGAGACAGCAGATTGGATGGATGAAGCAAACACTTTGATTGTTATTGTATGTACAAGGTTTGCCAAAAGACATGGGCAGCTCCCTTGTAGCAGCTCACAGTTCCTGTAGCCTGTCTACCTGTTAATGAGAAACAGTGAGGTGGTAAGAGTAGTCTGTTGCTTCTACAGAAGTGATTTCAAACATTCACTGATGTTTCACTTACATCAAAAGCAAGTAAATGGCATACAGAAGAACAGCGAATTATGTCCTCAGAAACTACCTGGGTTTAGATTATCTTTAAACACAGGCATTTGTTCACGTGCTATTGTCTTGTACTGCAAACTACATTCTCAGCAGCTGTGATGTGCCACAGCCTCACCTGATCATAGATGCTTAAAGAGAAATAGATGTCTCTCAATTCACATTTTAACTTTACATTTTTTTCTCTCTCTTCTACCCAGTCTTACTGCACAGCCTCACTGCCTTGTCCTCATGATTGCCACCTTCCTCCTGTCATGGATTTTGGCCTTCCTGCAGCCTCAATATTGGACTGACCTGAAAGTCTGGGAACAGCTGGGTGTAGGCAGGAGCAGGCAGTCCCACCCAGCAGGCACACAGCTCTGGGAGAGGAGGAATCTGCATGGCCATGGGCTTCTACTGCAAATAAGGCAGTGTCCCCAGACCAGGGAAATTCAACCACGTGTGAGTAAATACAGAGAGCAGCCTCCTTCAGAACAGACACCAGGAATGAAATTCAATATTTTTGATTTTGACTGTTTCCATTTTAATTTGTGCTGGCTGTTAACTATAAAGCTTTCCAGATACTTTATTCACATTTTCCTTAAACCACATCAGTTCAACCATCCTCAGCATTACTTCTTTGTGACCTTCCTCTCCTCTGGCTTATTTACTCTTTTTTTCCCCCCTATATTTATCTCTCTGTCCATTAATTTTGTTTTTGAAAACTCAGCCTCAGGAAACAAAACATCCTTTCATTTACTTCATGGAAAAGGAATTTAAAATTTTGGAATAGCAGGGTATTTTCAGAGAGTTCCTCTGCTTGTAGGATTTATTCTTTCCTCAAATGGTTTCTCTCTCTCTTGACTATTTTGTTTGTAAAAACTTAAGAAAATAGGAGTTTTTCCTAAGGTGTTTTGCATGATGATGGCATTTGGTGATAAAGGCCATTCAGAGTGGCCTATAATGCACTGCAATATGCTCTTCCTGTTGTTTTTTTTTTCAACAGTGCAATCCTTAGAATATAAAGATTACATGAGAGATAAATAAAGGTGTGTCATAGGCACCACTCCAGTTAAAAGGTGATGAAGGTGTGAATAGAGTCCAGCTCATTGTTTACCAGAGTGGGATAGAAACTTTTGGACGTCTGATGATCATGGGATGTATTACTCATAAATACATGGTATGGCATAAGGTAATTGTTTAATGTGTGCTGATGGTTGATGCCTTTCATAACATGTGATCAAGCAATTTAGAGGAGGCAAGCAGATGTTGAAAAGGGCAAAGAAAATCTGACACTGAACACCTGAACATTTTGTGTTAATTGGTGAAGGTAGAATTTCCAGCAGCTTTCATTAGCAGTGCTCCTCCAAGCATTATTGATGTTTTCCTTCTTATTTCAGTTTCCTTGAAGCTTAGAAAGAAAGGATTCTCCATCAATAGCAACAAATTAAATAAAACAATAAGAGTGGATAAGATCTTTCCTTATGTGAACAGATGACCATCAAATGCTTTAGTGGAAGGGCATCTGATATAAGAATTCTGAATCTGTCCAATTCCTCCAGGGCTGAACTCGGTGTTGCCAAACAGCCACTTTTTCTCTTCCATCTCCTGCACACTGCATCTGCAGATAACACAGCAGCCACACTCCTGGTGGATTTTAATTGCTTATTGGGTGCAGATTTATAAGATGAAAAGCAAGAAAATAAAGCACAGTTACCACAGGCTGCAGAATGTGCAGCACAGCTGTAGGGGGGCATTTACAGGGAAACCATGGAGTAAAAGCAGCTGCTGCAGGGTGCAGATGGCAAAGCCCAAGCCGGAGTCCAGGTCACCTTTGTGGCAGCTGTCACACAATACTCTGCAGCTGCTTCCTACTCCAGCTTCTCAGATTACCACTGAATGCATAGCCCAGCTGATAAATATCTTTAGTATTATGGAGGAAAACTAATTATTTGTTTACAAGATAAGACATGCTTGCCAAGTTTGTATTCGGTAAATTATGAAGTCTGTTTTGTCATACCGTGGTTTTGTGGTTACAAAGTAAGTTTAAGTAGCTAAAGAAGAAGTGTTGCAAAACTGTCATTAGGCAATCCTGAATTCAGAGTGTACAAATACAGACCAATTCCTGTTTAGTTTAAGGTAAGTACATACAGTGAAATACCATTAGCTGAAGTTTTCATGCTGTTGCAGATGTCATAAGTTCATGGGAAAATCGGGTCACTACTTCTACCATGTCAAGAAAACATGGTAGGGGGTTCAGACAGTGCTCACTTGTTGTTTTATGGAATCATTTCATGCTCAGATCTGCTATGGAGCCAGAAATCCTGGCCTGTACTGATTGCCTGGCAGGTAGAGCACACAGCCCCAGCACTCTGAGCTGGGATACTCTAACATATTGATGTTCCCTTTCAGTACAGGAGCAGCATGTTTTGCCCTCATCTCTTCTTTTGTGCCTGCAGCTTTTGGCAAGGTAATTTTGGGGATCAGGGAGGTAGGAGGTGCACTTCAAGGTGCTGGGTTTTAGGTTGTTCACAACAGGGACTTTATCTGGGAATTCCATTGCTCTCTTCTAGATCTCATAGCTTACTTCCCTCAGGAAAAATGAGGTTTTCCATGAGTATATAAAGAATGAGTAAGAAGAGGGAAGGTGTGGTGAATAATGGGATCTCATTCTGACATGGAGGTGACCCATGAGGATCAGATGTGAGTGGAGTTCACGAGGCTGAAAACATCCCCAAGTTCCCCAGGACAGACAGAACCCTGACTTGCTCTTAGAGTTTCAGTTTATCCCAGGCCTGGGACCATTCTGTTTCCAGGGCTGTAACAGTCCTTTGGATAAAATCCTGGTTTTATTGAAACCTGCTAACTCCTCCAGTCCTCAGCAGGACTAGAGTTTTAGCCTTTATTGTTTTTTCTCCTAAATACATATATGTGTGCATACAAAAGAAAGAAATGAGAGATATTGCTGTTCTATGTCCATAAAGTCACTGAACATACATATAATGAGTTTGCTTTCCTTTACTAAAACCAAGAACTGAGGCCAAGTGTTCTTTTTATATAAACTGAATACTGTGACTTTCAAAGAAAAATAAAAATGTGATATTTTTTTCATCATAAATTGGTATTACATTTTTGAAAAATATATTGTGCAATCAAAGTTCTTTATTCAGAGTTTCTTACAGTTACTTCTTTCTGAATGTCAGTATTTGTGTCCCAGCTGAGGAAGAGAACCATCACAGAAGCAAATAGAAAATTAAATGTGAATTGTGCATTTGCTGTGCTTGAAATCCTTCAGAGTGAGTAGATGCATAAATGTGTTTGGAGAAGGACCTCACCACTGTGTGTTGTATATATTCACCAATTATAAATGTCTATTACCAGATTCCTAAGAATCCATCTGAATCTTCACCCCCTCCTTTTTCCTACCTCTTCCAGTGTTCTTTGTATTTTACCTGAATGGGAAGGTGAATACATTACCATTTTCACAGATGACAACAGTGAAATATATTTGCTATTCCTCATATTTTTTCCCATAGTCAATTAACCAGATGAATTACACTTAGTTCAGAAATTCTAAAAACTCTGATGGTTAGCTTTATTTTTTAAAGTATAAAGCCAAGTCTGTTGTGAAAAATAAATGATGGATCTCTGAAAGTAATTTCTTCCCATTTTAAAATAAATATTGAATTAATTTTAAAGCCTTGAATATTAAATTATTCTTTAAAATTAAGAAATATGTTGTATTTTAATAGTCCTGATTCTAACTTCTGATTTCTTTCCATTTATTTTAAATCTTATAAAAGACATAATTTTTTTCAAAGTCAAACCCTTCATTTACATAGTAAGGAAATAGCGTATCAATATTATAAAATCCATACACTGTATCCTTCTGAAGGCAATACGTCTTTGCAGTGCTGGTTTCACTATGCACACTCTTTTATGCCAGAAAATATTAACATGATAATAGCAGCAAGTATGCAATAAAATTTAGGTTATAAAATATGATTATGTATTACTAAATCATTAACAAAAATTCTTATACACATATTCCTTGTTAGAAATTAAACAATATGATGTAACCCTGCAGGTTACTGGGAGACTGCATTTATTGCCTTTGCTGTCTCAAATAGAGTTTGATACCTATTCAATCCAGTCTGCCTTTCAGGCATTTCTAGGGATACTTAAAATCTCTGCACATATATAATGCTTTCTGGCTGAGAATGAAACCATTACCACACTGAGTTTTCAAAACTGCTGAAGTTTTAGGCATTCATGTGGCCTGCAGTACTTTGAGGAAAAGTCATACTAGTTGTGAACAGCTCAAGAGGTTTTTTGTGAACACTGAAATACACAAAATCTACATATCTGTAATACTCAAAGCATGGAAGTACAAGGAAGATAGACTAGAGTCTATATGCTAGATCCTCTTTGCTTATGTTTCATATAATTGTATTTAAGATTTTTTGTTAGTAGCACTGCACTCAACTTAAAAAATCTTAAAATCAGTGTGAAGTGAAGAGACAGCATGGCCTTATCCTGTCTGGTAACCACACACCCAGAAAAGTTCTGGGCCTCCTAATCTCTTAGTTTATTTGGATGCATAAAGGAGCTGACCTTTTAAATTCACAATGTAAAAAGATCTTCAATGTTAAAAGATCTTCAAAGTGTGTCAGAAATTCTGATTTTTATGTTTTTCTGATTTCTATGTTTTTCACCCGTCAAACCTTAGAAGGTGACATATATTGCTGTTCTAATGGATTTTTTCTGTATTACCATAATCATAGTTCTGCTATTATTTTTTTTCCCTTTAAGTACAATATTATTTTTTAAAAAAACATAACTGAGGGAGTTTTAGGTTCAAATCTCCTTTTCACTACTGTTTTTGCATGGTGTAATATTCATACATACAAGTTCTGTCCTGAAGATTGCCAACGAGTTGACTCTTCCTGGATCCTCTTTTAACCTTCCAATTCAGTCACACTCTAAAGCTTTCTTTATTATAAAAATGTTTTGCATGCACAACTCATGGCACTGATATTTTCCTCCTTTCCTTTAAGGTGGGATATCACATTATACTGTTGTTATACCATAGTGGTGATCCATTGGAGCTGTGCTCCTCTTTCCTTTGGTAGAACATTTCTCCCTGTTTCTAGAACTGAGATTTGGTTGGCACTCCAGATACTACATAATATTTTCCAGGAATGTTTAGGACATTATGCAACTGGTCAGGGAAAATTCATGCCAAGCACTGCCATGCATGCTAATTTCTGTCAAACACAACCTTTTATCTGTCAGCTCATTGCAAACCCTGAGAATTCACTACAAAGAAGGAGCCCCTGTTGGCTGGAGACTTGAACTTTGGAGCCTGTGCAAAGCGTGAAGGAACATATTTGTTTTCATACTGAGATGGATGTTCATGTAAAACACAAGGCAAACAGGGAAAGACTGAAAAATGGCTGGTTTATTGGAAGAGACTTGGAGTCATTTCCTGCTATTACCAAACTTGTTCTCTGTGAAGCTGGTATTTATAATCTTGATGCTGGCACTCAAAGCAGGCTGTTAAGAGGTTTGAAAGATCTGTTGTCATGTTTGCTCATATTCCATAATATGTTTCGGATGGATGATTCCCACAGGTTTAATCCATTTTTCTCACTCAAAGAAAAGGTGGGATTACCTGCTTGAGCCAAAAAGGATACTCAGCACAGAGATGTTAGAAAACAAATTATTATTGTGCTGATGATCCTGTTACTGCTGTAATGAAGCTGGCATTACAGTTTTTACCTGAGCCAAGATGTTGAAATCATTTTCCATAAACTGAGATGAGAAAGTTCACAGCACACTTATGTTCCAAAAAAGAGAATTTTTCCTCCCAAGTTTGCTTGTTAAGTGTCTAATTTCTAAGTTTACCCATAATAATGAGACATTGATTAATCTCAGTAATAAATTCTGAGACAGTGGGTCTGGAAGATAGGTTTCTTGAAATTGCTGACCAAATTATAACAGAATATGTAGTTGAAATTTTGAGCATGCCTTATGCAGAGGACCATTACCATTTTATTAGGCAGTGCATTGAAATAAAACTGCTACATAGAGAAACTTGTCTTCTCATTTAAATAATTTCAGACCTACCTTTTTATTTTTTTAGTGAACCTGATGGCAACAATGCACACTGTCAGTAACGCAAGGTTATCTTTCTGCATAAAGTGATTGGCTGCATTTTAATCAAGAAATTAAAAGAGTTCAGAGGAACTCTGACAAAAAGTTGTGAAAAAGTGACAAAAGTAATTAGACTCAAGAAAATACTTCCATGTGAATAAAAATTGAAAAGTTTGAGTTCTAAAGGACATGAATAAGAAGAGACATGAAGTACACTTTTAAGGACAGGATATTTGCCAACTTCTAGCTGTGGGGATTCTCCCACCCTGTCTACTCTTGAAGATCTTTGTTAGACCCCAGAAACTGGAAAAAATATTCACTCACTTGCCTAACTCTGCTGTGCCACTCCAAAATTTGCCTGAGTCTCTAACTTAAAATGCATACACAGTCTGTATCCTATACCCCACATAATCTGGAAAACCCTTTTTACCCCCTTCATAAACACTTTCCATGCTTTAAAAGTCCACAGCTATAGTTAGGGAGAACCACTGAGCCCCCTCAGAAGTGTTTGGCAGAGCCTGCAGTTTACATCTAACCTGCCTGAGAAGAGACCACAGCCTCGTAAAAGCTGCTCTCCTCTCCTTCTCCTTCGACCACACTTGAAGGTGATGCCATTGAGAAAACAGGAGCAGGAAAGGGAGAAGCGAGTCTCAGCTTACCCAGTGTGGAAGGAGCCCAAGGACCTTTCTTCCTGACACATTGGCATGGGCACTGCTCCCTCTGCCAGGGAAAATCCCCCATTTTAGTCTCCAGTTGCTGCAGAGTTAGTGGCACAGGGCCTGTACGTATGTGGGTAAGCACATTGACCTTTCTTATAGGATTTCATGGTGGATATGGCAAGGGATGAATGATGATGGATGTACCTGAGCTAAGGATTTCTGCATCACATTTTTCAAGTCTCTTGCTCTCCTTAAGAGACAATATGGATATAACTATTTTCTATTTTTACTGTTAATATAATACTTGCATGCAGTCAGTTGTTATTTTCTGAACTTGCACAAGTCTTCTTTCACTTGGAATATATGAATGACCTTTGAGGATATATATGCTGTATGAAAAACTGAGGCACTAACACTAGAACACTCTTTTAATGTACTATAAAAGTCAAAAAATAAGCTTTGTTACCCCAAGAGAAAAGACCTTTCTGGCCTGAACTGTTACTGTAGAAAAGCCTCAATGTGAATGTTCCACTTCAATCATCATATTGGTGCAAGCAAAGTACAGAAACCTTTTTTATTTCAGCATTTTTATTATCTCTTTAAAATACTATGTTCTGTGCAAGACTGTTTAAGAAAACACAACACAGAAAAGCAGGTGTGGAAAGATATGTGTATGAAGGAGGTGAGCACAGCTCCTCACCCCTACACCACCAGCATTTTTAGTTCTTCCACAATGTCCACACTTCCTCTGTCTCCATCAGGCTACCAAGGAATACCAGGCCACACCACATCACGCACAAATGCATGCACACAAATAGGTGTGGCTGCATGGGTGAGCAGAAAGCAGCCAGGATGAAGTAGGACAGTTGTGCTGATAGCAAGGGCAGGTTTGTGAGGCTGAAATCAGACACATTTAGAAATCTAGGACAACAGGAAACAATGGCTCACGAAAGCCATAGGTAAGTACAGGCAGCTCATCTATTAAATCATGATTCACTCATGTGACACAGCCCCATATCAGAACTCAGAGTAATTACTGTTGAGTCATGCAGACAAGGAGACCAGCTTGGAGCTGGCACTGGCATTGCCAAGAAGTGATACAGCAGCAATCACCTGGATGGGGTAAAGGGAGGGGCAGCTTCAAAATCCTGGGCAAGGCCAAAGGCCACAAAACGAGATCAAACTACCTACATGTATTTTAAAAGAAAACACTTTAAATTTTGTCTGGATATGAAGAAAACCTCAAAAACATTACAGACTACCTGCTTTTTGCTGTGCAGCCTGATATATTAGCTTCATTACGAATAAGCTGTCCTGCCACATCTCTCTCTCTGATACTTGCTTCCAGCTAAAGAAGGAACATGTAGGAATAAGCAGAAGCGAGAAGGTGAGATAGTTTCATGTAAAGTTTGGCCTTTCTCTGACTCTGGAGAGGCCCTGGCAGTTCTGGGCATGATAATATTCACGCAGAAACAGTTTCATGTAAAGT